TATGGATGAAATGTCTTAATATGAATCTATACACATGTACGTATATGTATGTATGTATGTATATGCATGTATGTATCTGTGTGTGAATATATGTGTTCATACTATGAATGGTATTTTTTCTGTCTTCCTCTTCCCAGATGTATAAGCAAATCAAGGCTCAGAGACCTTATGTTCAAATATCACTAGATAATCCAGCATGAGACAGTAAATGTGTGTTTATTCACTTGTAGCAACTCACTGGCTCTCTTTCTTTAGAAAGATGAATGGGAATACCTCCTTAATCCTAAATGAGGCAGGTCAGAGTTTACTTGACACCAAAGTCACAGCAATTACAGTGGCTTTTAGAAAAAGGGGCATGTAACCATAGAGTGCATGGGGAATTTGTCTCTTCATGAGAATAAGAACCTTTACTTTTAAGATTTTAGAAATTAGAAAAAATCAGTCCCTGGTGGTCATTAAAACACCATCTAATGTGTTTGGTGGAAGTGGTCCAACCATGGAAGGTAAATTATTTCCATTTCATCATCATCTTTGGGGAACACAGTTCAGGTTTGTATGTTTTAATTGCTATTGTATGTATGTATTAATTGCTACCTTGGTGGTGATACCCGCACAGAGAACATATATCACTAAAGTAATTTTCTTTTAACTACCAATTACAGTGAATATATTTAAATAAATCTCAGCAAAAACAAGTTTTTACAAATCTTTGCCATTTTACTTGAGAATTACTGGCAGCGCTATGAACCAATTATGATTTGGAAAAATATTCTCTGTATTGACATGCAAATGAACTCACTAAGCAACCACTTTGCTTTAGAGATTTACATAATTTGATACCAAAAGCCACATTAAATTAATATTAATTACTTGGTTGTAAAGCAAGAAAGTTCAGAGTTAAGGTGATCTTCTTTCCACAGTTCACCACATCTATGCATGAAAACATTGATGCACAAGAAATAAAAACATTTTAGGTGTAGGGATATCCAGGCTATACTCCTTAGAAGTACATGGCTTATTACCCGAAGATGTGTAGGAAGTACAACTGAAGTGTCTCTCTCTTAGAGAGAGTCATTTTCGAATCCTTTATCAGAATTCATATTTTCTCAGAATCAATGTACTACTGTAAACTCTTCATTTGTTTTTGCACACATCTGTTTTGTTTTTTATTCCTGGCAAATTTTCATTTCCAATTGTCCCTTCCCTTGCCAATCAACATGAGAGCTCCTGAGTGACATTTGCATGCCAAAAGACTGGTGTGTGCTCAAGCATACTAGCCTAAATAAAAAAAAATAAATAACAATAATTGGAAGACTCATTTCCCATTAAAAATTATGTACTATATTATAGCTATAATGTAAATTATTTTCTAGTAAGTAGCTTTTGTTGAGCCTGACTGAATGTTTTGGATTATTCCCATTGCATGTTTATGGTATAGTAGTATCTACCAAAAAAATCACACACACACACACATACAAATACACACACACTCATTACATCGAATGCTTATACTATTATGCAATTCTTCCTCTTTCAGAAAATCTATTGGACTACTCATTGGAATATTGGAATTCTAGAATCCTGAATTTATTAAAAACACTATCTCATCCATTATAATAATATTAACTTCTTGACTACCAAGGTGATTCAAGCACAAAGGGACCAGTTGTTTTGTTCTGCGATGACCCATTTGATGGAAAAATTAGGATATTCCACAAGGGACCTTACAGCTCATCTTCAGTAGACTGTACCCAAAGGACACGAGAGGTGTTGAAGCAGAGTGTGATTAGGCTGTTTGGTAAAAGATAATTGGTCACATGGATGCTAAATGATGTTAACAAAAGGAAGCACTTTCTTCTAGCTTATTAGTCTAGAAGGGTCTTTTGAATTTTTAACATATTCAGTAACAAAAAATAAAACATTAAAGTTAGTATGGTGATTTGGGGCAAATATGAAGGGCTAGTAGAAACATATTATTTAGGGTCTTTTGGCACCATTGATAAAAGATAATTAAACATGAAAAATGACTATTATTCAAAAGAAAGTCTTAATAAACTATTATTTGCATAATTTCTTAAATGTGATTTTAAAACTTACTTTTAAAAAGCCAATTCACTCAAACTTTTTAACAGATTTCAGGCTTATTATTACTTCCTGCATTTCTCTACTGTACATATTAGTGAATAGAAAGAAAAAAACTACAATATGTAGTCTTGATACCATAAAACCCAAATTGCTTCATCTTATTCTTAAACCCCACCAAACTCACATAGTTATTCATCTTACTTGTAAGGAAAAAAAAAGGTATCTTTCCAACAACATTTTTAATTTCACTTTTTGTCTAGATCCATGTGCCTTAAGAAACTGAGAAACAATTAAGAAAGAAAACAACTTGAGCATGTCATGTGAAATAATTATTTCAGTAACTTTTCTATGCACTTTTTTGTAAAAGTTCATTATCTTGAAGGAAAAATGTGCTGTATACACTTGCAATACCTATGTAATGATAGCTTTAGCAAGTTATCTATTGTTGTGATTCTGAATATTCCTTTGCTTTTCACCTCGACAAGTTATGACTCCAAGACACGGTCATTTCTTTGTGGTACAAAGTATTAATGAAGGGCCACCACATTTAAATATCTTTTGTAGGTATCTTCAAAGTTGGCAATTTTATTTGTTTGCAGTATGAACCGTACTCTGTACCCAAATAGTATTCCCTACCTGCTAAGTCTGGGCTAATTATGGTCACCTCATTTTACCTCTTCAGAAATAAGATATAAAAGCTAAATATGTTCAAAATATGAGGGGAAAATACCTCTAATATTTTAAATTTACATTCTCATTGAATCTACCTTTGATTGATGTCATCATTGCCCGTAGCATATTTCAAATTTAGCAATTTAACCATCTCACTGTGACAATGTTAAACTTTATTTGCAAGAATCCCAGATATTGGTAGTATAAACTGTTTATGCTTGAACAAAGATATCTTGGAAAACTTTATGCAAAAATAAGTCACTGAGGTACTAATACATTTGGATAAATACAGTGTTTATATATTTTTCTGCCTTTCAAGTAAGTTAAAAATTAAAATATATGTTGACATTTCAATACAATAAAGAAAATAAAACTCAAATTTAAAAACAGCCATATTTTGTGTGAAATGTCACGGTCTGAGTATTTATACTAATATAATTAGTTTCAAAGAGAAAATTTCTAAATGTATAGAAGAAAAGAATGATTCTATATACATTTAAAGGAGGTTATTTGGTATAAAAGTCATAGCCCAGTGTTTCACATATCTTATTTGGCTCCTCTACCTGCCCAGTCTTTAAAAATTTGTATCAATATTTAATGTAAGATCACATGACTGAAAAGTCCTATAAAGAACATCTGTTTAGGGTAAAACATGGGAACAACTTAAAGGGATTTACATTTGACCTCTAGTGTTTGCAATAAAATCCATTTTTTTTGAAACAACCACTCATGTAGGATTGTGCTGTAAATAAAATACAAAACCTCTTCCCAGAGGAATTATTTTAAATCTTAAGTGCTAAAGCTAAAGTTCATCCTTGTAAGTGCAATGCAACTAGAGTAGAAAATGTTACGATAATTTAAAATATAAAAACAAACATTTAAACTTAGTGTATGCTTTAATTGCTGAAAAACATAACCCTAGTAGTTGAGTGATACTTATTAACTCTGCAACGGTTTATATTTTACCCATTCCTATTAATACAGGGCATCTAGTTACAGCCTGAACACTCTCCCTAGAATCTGAAGGAACCTCCATCCCAATATCATTCCAGCCATCATTTATATTTAATCTAATGTTACTAAATGACATAAATGAAAGATCATAATTCTGTTTATCAGACAAACCATCATGTCTGCCAAATAAAGTCTGAACAGTAATAAGAAGTACACAGCACCAGCTAACTTCTATCATTTAATAACTGTTCACTATGAGAAGTACTGTTTGGTGTTTTTTTGCACTGATTTCTTACTCCATACACACTCGAAACACTGCCAATTGACAAAAGGAACACAGCTTCAAAAGAAAATCTCCTAAGTGGAAAAAAGCTCTCTGTTAAGCATGCAAGAGGTTAAACATTGCTGAAATAGCGAGACATTTTCTCAGCCCACGCTTCCCAGTTCCATTCAATTACCAACAGCAGTAGCGACTGTAACACAAGCTAAAACTGTATTATTAAATCAGAGCTTCCCATTTACATCCACCTCTAACCTAAAGGGGTGGGAGGGGATGACATTTACTAGTCAACAGCAGAACAAACAGCCCCCAACTTGGAAATACACATGACCTTGGGGTGTAGAATTCTCAGTGACTGAGTTTCACAAGTTTTATTTGGATCTACTACATAACAACACATCTAAATGAACCCAGCATGGTTAAATGCTCCTATCCTTACTACCTCTCCTCCAAAAATGTTGAGAGCTCTGCACTTTGCAGCCTATGCTTTAAATACCAGTGGTAACATTAATTAATCAGAGATTAGTCCACTCAAATATATAAATATATATATATATATATATGCATATATATGTGTATATATATATGTGTATATATATATATATATATATATATTTTAAGATTACATTCGTTTTAAACAACTTGTTGGTTGAATGATTTAATGTAATTTATTAACATGTTTGGGGGCTACATTGAATGATTTCTGTTTCTTGAGCCATGCTGGAAGTATTGCTCTACAAATATTTATATTTATAAAGCAAGATGTAACATGATGACATTAACTTCTCAAAAAAAGCAAAGCCCTCAACTTCCCCTTTAGAATTCAGTGCATAATCACCAACAGCTGCTCTTGTAATAATAATGGTAATAGTAATTATTAAAATAATTATTGCAATCATTGCCAAAAGTACCATTTAAAATAATAATAATAATAATAACTTGCTTTTTGCATGGCAGTCTGCATTTCTCTCCCATTTGTAATAATTTATAACAATATTATTTTTCTTACCTTATTTTAACAGTCAAAAAAGTCTCCTAGAAAGATTCCTAAACGGTGTGGATATATATATGACAATAATAATAATTTTTTAAAAATGAAAAGATCCTCTTAGCTGGAAAAAAAGATGAAAATAGTTTGGTCTAAAACTATAGAAATCTCCAAAGTCACGCCTGAATGGGCGCCCAGGTGGCAAATAGAGGATTCTCTCCCACGTCCGTCCGATACCACACTCCTTTGTCAAGTTGATATAGTCCTGCTGGTGAAGCGGTCCGGCAAGACGCAGAGGGTGCTAGAGGGCGTTGCCTGAAGGTGCTGGAGCAACCGGTCCGCTGGCGTCCCAGGTTCAGCACCGACAGCACAGTGGACAGCACCAGCTCCTCTCACCTCCAGTTTTTCTCAGTCACTGAACCAGGCTGATTCTCGCGCCTCCTCCCTAAGCAAGAGCTGCTGCCACTCAACCGGGCATGCCCCACCCCCCACAGCTGACGTAACTATTTTGCATATCAACTCCCCGAGAGGTGCGGGGCCGCCCCCTTTACTGGGCTTCTGCTAGGGTCAGCTGAGACAATCAAGGTGGCGCAGTCCAGGCTCATGATCAAAGTGAGCATCATTGGACTTCACGATCCATCCACCACCAGTCCTGAAGAAACTAAATGCTTCCCGCGTCACATGAGCCTCTGCCTGCACTGGGACTGCCGTTTCTGTGCACTCTTAAAGATCGCTGCCGGCACAGCTCTGGCAGAAAGATGATGGGCGAGGGAGGGGGCAGTGGAGAGCTGAGAGAGGCTGGGGAGGCGGGTGGAGAAGGGACAGGGGAATAGAATTAATCTACTCAACCACATAAAAGAAGAAGAAAAAAAGACCCTCCGTTTGATCTTCCTGGGCAAACTTTCCTCTTTCTCCCTGCCATTTGTTTACTGGAAAGGATGTATTTGGTGTGACGTTCCCTTTCCTCGGTTCACGGAACTGCTAGAGGGAGTCACTGCAGCAGAAACTTGTTCTGGAGAAGAAAAAAAAAATGCTCTGAGCGCTGGGAGAAAATGGGAAAGCTTGCAATGCTTATCATTCGTAAACAAAATATTTTCTTAATTTTTTTATATGAGTGCTGCATAGTATATAGACTTCATATGTGTCCCTATAAAATTTGCATAGCCCTTCCTTTTCATTCTCACAGTTTAAATATATCATCAAGGTAAAGGGATTTGGAGATTCCGGGGGGGGGGGGATTTTTTTTTTTCATTTAAAAAAAAGTGAAAAATTTCAGCTTCAACTTCCACTGCCAAAATCCTGAAGGTTATGCAATATTTATTATTTCGAATATATCAATTGTTCTCTGAAAGTGGGGTATGCTGGAAACATTTCATAGCCTTTAGCAATTCCCCCAGTATGTGTGATGTTTCTTGTCCCAGTGAGGCCTTGACAGCAAGAGAAAGAGGGGCTGCTAGGCTGGATTCCTGACTGCTTAAACTTGTAAACAAACCGTGAACTGAACCAATCAATCATCCCAAAGGGTCATTATTCACACGCTATCCACAGGTCCCACCTACAGCCATCAAGATTTGCGTGTACAAAGAAATGGACAAATAACATTAAGCCTAACATTTTCTTCACTTGATTAAAACATTTTTCATAAGAAGTTTATTAAAGAAATTTCATAGCATTCAACATATTGTTTTCCATGAAAATGTACAATAACTGATATGTGCCATTGTATTCCTGGAGAGTAATATAATTTTGCACTATGTCTACTCATGAGTGTTTTCAGGGACTCTGTTGAAATGAATACACTTGTTTATTTCCCTATCAGGAAAAATAATTAATAAATCTGATTTTCTGCAATGTTTGAGAAATTATTTGAGGAAATATATTTACTTTGTGGGCATATATACCGAAATTACATCTAAAGAATTACTTAAGCAGGAGCCAAGTTGAGAAAAATCATGGTATTTTTGCATTTGAGGGAACTTTCCTTTTTCTGGTTTACATCCACATACACCTTTCTTTTCAGCTTTCTTCCAGAATTTATCTGTTTCTTTCCCAAGTATTAAATTCCCTGGGAATGTATCTCCAACATGTCTAGACCATATTACATCCATGCAAGCTGCAATACATCATCTTCTTCTGACAAGTATTGATTTTATGTAAATATATAAATGGTAAGTGCCATGCTTTTTTGCCCTGTTTGCTACACAGACGCACTTACACACACATTTCAATAGTTCCTCAGTTCCCAAAGTGATTTTAATAATGGTTTCCAACAGCATGGTAGGGCATGAAAAGTGACATTTAGATACAGATGGGCATTTTACAGTTACAAATACAATAGAGCCTATTGAATAATCTGTACTTAGGCTGATCAAAATACACACATTATGCCTCTTTTGGAAATGCCACATGGCATCTTTTGTTCTGCCTCATGCCAACATGTCAAAATGTCAGAGAAGTCTTAAAAGTTCACTGTGGAAATATACAGAGTATGTTATAAAATTCCACCAAAGTCTATGTCATATGTTGTTTAACAGACACTAATTTTTAGTTCACTCCAGTGATCAGATTATTTGAGGCTATGAATTCAATTAAGGCAGGCATAATATTATTCAAAAGCCTAAGGGGATGAAACTGGAAAACAAACCTATGCTTCAAGTATGGGAAAAAAAAATACCAGACCATTTGCTCATTGTCTCTACAAAAAGATAGAGACAGAAAGAAGAAAATGAAAGAAATAGAACTATTTTGTCACATATTTATGAAGATGCACACATGCAGGAAAGTATTGGGATGGCTGAACCCTCCTAGGGGATTCTAGGATTTGTTCTGTCTTAATTGGTTATGTGACCAGGAGCAAGTTACTTAAATTATTTCATCACAATCATCAAATTGAAAATTTGGGGACTATACTAAGCTATTTCTAAAATCCCTTACACATCTGTCATTCTGTGATTCTATATTAGAATTAAAAACTTCAGAAATTTCTATATTAGAATGCAAGACCTTAAGAAGATCCCCCCTGGGTGCGATAAATTATAATCTGGTTACTAATGCTATGAAATTGGTAACATAGGGCAAATAGTCTGGGAAAAGGGACGAATGACTAGTAACAAGGATGAGGCTAATGAGGTAAAAAAATAAAATTTACCTACCCAGGATGGAACTGAGAGGATTGAATCGGTCTGCTAAAATATTCACTTATTTTTATATAAGCAATATTATAATATTCTCACATACAGGCACACTTGTAATTACTATTTAGAATATTTAAAGTAACTGTAAAGCAACAATAAAATGTAAGGCATGCAGAAAGTGATTAAATGGATTTTTATTTGTAAATTGCCATTGGAAAGATGACAAAAATATTAAGTAAATACACTCAAGGAAAATACCTTTAAAGCTGAGTGACCAACATCTACTTAAGGATTTTAATTTAGGTAATTTACATGAACATATTAAAATGTAATACACAAAAATTATGAAGCTCATTGTGTTGTGGTCTTGTGTGTGTGTATATTTATACTTGTACAAAATGTTTACCTTTTAATCATGTTGCCTTCTGGTTCTCTATTTTTGGACTCCTGCAGTGTTACCAAATTCTACAAGCTGCTTTCAAACAGTAATTATTCTAATGTGTTTGTAGTATATTAGAATTATAAATACTCTAAAGATAATAACAGTGCATGCTTTGTTAATTTTTCTTTTTGAATCAATTATGAAAAGGTTTGCTGCAAATTAAGTACATGCTTATTTTGAAAAGCAAATATTCACTACTTTTCTCCAGGTAATTTTCACTATTAATTTTAGGGGATTAAAATAAAGCAGGGTCAGGAAAAATATCGTAGTCATCAATGACCAAGCCTTCCTTAATTAAAGAGAGCAGTAAGATCAAAACATAAGCGCAAAATATATCTGTGCTAGAGATCTCAACTTTCCTGAAATATGAGCTTCTAGATGATTGTGTTTTCTCCTGATATACATATATATCAGGGGAAATGTATGCAAGTGGACACTGGTCAGCATTGCTCAAGCAGTAATTCGCCATAATCAGAAGTATCTGGATGCTGTTACCACTTTGAGTACCTCTTGTCGTTTCAGAAGTCAAACATGACTTGTCATCTTTTGTTATCAATATACATTGAGTATCATAATTTTAATAGTTTTTTTTTTAAAACGTGTATGTAGTTTTTTGGCACCGTGTGTGTGTGTGTGTGTGTGTGTGTGTGTGTGTGTGTGTGTAGTTTTTAAAGAGTGGATACTGCATTTAATAATTAGATCTTATGAAAAAGAATTTCTGAAATTAAATTTAAGGTCTCACTTTTTAGCCTTTTAATAGCAATTCCAAATGCTAAATGTACAATGTTTTACATAATTTGAATATTTGACACTTGAAAATATATTTTCTCTCAACTTCCTCTCCAGTTTTTCTTCCTTACTTCCATTACTCCTTTCCTTTCTTCCTTTCTAACTCTGGCTCTCTCAGGGCCTTTCTCTCTCATCGCCTATCTTTTATTTTAATATCTTATGAATAAAATTTTTATTAGTGATATATCTGTCATGTTATGGGATATTTAAAAAGAGTATTGTATTATTGAACGGAATTTTTTTTTTTTAAGCAATGAAGCATTTTTTTGTTGTTGTTGTTTTTTGTTTTGTTTTTTTATTGGGGAACTGGGGGGATGTGAACAGTGCTGGGGAATTGGGGAAGGGGAACAAAGTTGTCATCGTTTTGTTCTTCAGTCTAGTTGTGGAAGATGTTGCTTCATTGGCCCAGGCTGGCACCATCACTATGCTCTTCCCGGGCGAGGCAGATCAGTCGCCGGCTTCTGGACGGCCGCTCACTGCGGCTGCTGCCCGCTCCTGCTGGCTGCTGGCTGCACACGGTAGTCCATGGCAACCCACTGCCACAGGGGCTGCAGCCTACACCGTCGCCAGCGATCATGGCAGCCCAGCTCCAGGTTGAGCTGTTGTTCAGCATCTTAGCTGTAGAGGGCAGTGTCACTGGCCCTCATATGTGGGATCCAAACAGGGCCTTCTGGCATCCCAAGCCAGTTCTTAACCATCGTTCCACTCGGCCGGCCCTGAACGGAATTTTAATGTAATGAATTTATGTCTAAATTTCTTAGCTAATCTAGAAATGTGACCTTAAATACACTTTGTGCATAGCCAGGATTTAGAGGTAGAGGAGCATGTTCTGAAGAACATTTTCAAGTATGTTTTCTTTAAAGTATGAACATAAGATTTAGTATATAAGAGTCAAAACCTAAATACTAATATATAAAGCTACAGACTAAAGAACACTACTGAGTTACACACACACACACACACACACACACACACACACACACACACACACACACATATTTTTTACCTAAGTGATATTTGCAATCAGCTACACAGTTTTCATGGGATTGCATTCACTCAATTTTTAAAACTCTCTTTATATGTTGAAAATGAGATTGTGCTTGATTTTTTGTCTTTACTGTCTATCATAGTGCGGGCATTTTGTTAGTTTTAGATAAGAAAATATTACATTTATCACGAGTAACATAAAAGTCAGCTTTTTTTTCCTAGCTAGTATTTACTTTAATACACAGGGAGGTACACTAAGAACACTATTTTTATGATTTTTAATCATGAATTCACCATTAAAATGGTATATTTTATAAAGGATTAGCAGTCTTTTTCAGAAATACCATGCTAAAACTAG